CATTTCTCGGATGCAAGCTTCCTCCTAGAAATCATCTCCATCATTTTGATCCTAACAGTGTCAATCATCTCATAAATTGGAAGCCTACGCACATCCTTAACCCATGAATTAAACGACTCGGACAAGGCATTACTAACCTCCCCATACCTCTTTCCCGGAAAAAATGCATTAGCAAAATTTTGGACAGGGAGATCAGCCAAAAACTTATCAATTATTTTTGAACCGCCATCATCTCTTAATTTTTTCAACGTATCTTGATATTCCTCAACAGTCGGTGCATACAACAACTTACAAAAAAGCCATAAAATATGATCCTTGAAAGAGGAACCAACAGCATGCGGATACTTCTTTTTCAAGTTCTCTTTCAAATGATATAGACAAAAACCATGGGGAGAAGCAGGAAAAACAGTCCTAACAGCATCGATAATAGCACCATGCCTATCAGAAATGAATGTAAGTTGCCTACCTTCATCAACCAAGACTTCAGATATCCTTTGCAGAAACCACCTCCAATTATCCACAGTTTCACCGGATACAATCGCAAAGGCAAAAGGGAATACTTCTACAAGAAACAGAGAACTATATTAGTTAGTTTGAACTGTAACAGTGTTACCACATAAAGCAGATTAAAACTACAATGCATAAAAATACTCAGATGCGGGGTATGAACAGTATAGAAACTGTTCATACCACTCAATGGAAGTCAACAACTACAGCATTTACATTACATACCTTTATTTCCATTCTTTGCAGTAGCTCCTAGAAGAGTACCCTTGTACTTGTTTGTGACGAAAGTACCATCAATGAACAGCATAGGCCTACACCACCGAAAACCATCAATGGAGGCCTTAAAACATATAAAGATCCGCTGGAAACGAGAACCATCCTCGCCACAGTCAAGCACACAATGAGATCCGACATTGCTGGCCTTCAAAACATTCACATACCAAGGCAGGTGAGCATAAGACAACTCCTCATCACCATGCAAATCCTTAGTAGCCGACTCCTTCCCATACCACGCAACATGATAAGGGATATCCAATCCATAATTCTCCTTCAAATCAGTAATCAGCTCAATAGGCCTTACCAAAGGATTGCTACGAACCTTATCTTTGACAATTGAAGACACCAAACGAGACCCCATTGCCTTATTTCTCTTCTCACGGATCAAACCACTGCAACTGTGTGCATTATTTAAGTTCTTAAAATAAAAAAACCCATTTACATTCGACTTAACAGCATGCACATGCCACTCACAGCCATTTGATTCCTTCTTAGCACACACAGCAGTAACACGACGAGGCTCATTTTTCAAATATTTCATCTTAAAACCATTCTCAATCGAGTACTTAGCCAACTTATCACGGAATTCACAAACTCCACCCTCAAACTTCTGACCCTCATGAGTAATATAACCCTCCCAATCAGTAGACAAATACTTACGACCTCCACAACTACCATATTTGCCTAAATATTCACTTCCATACTCACTGCTAATACCATCAAAATCCATACCCAAACAAGAAGGAGAAGCTGCACTTGAATCAACAATGCTACCAGTTTGAATTGAATATTTACATGTATCCTCATCTTGTGCAAAACTGTAATTGTTAGGAACAGCCTCCAACAAAAAAGGAGAAGCAATTATGTTCGTATTAACAGCTTGAACATAATTCACTACAGCCTTATCCCTAACAGCAATGTGAATTAATTGATCATTCGTCAGTTCACATACCATAAACATGATTTTCAAATCATCATCCAATTCCAATAAACAATTGGAGCAATCCGTATAAGAGTACCTCAACTCAAAATGACCTAACTTCAGCTTGAACCTACTACACAACTCGTTAGACAGCCAATCAAAAGTAGTAGTTGAAGACAAAATAAGCATTAAAGTTCCACCACCATAGGTGCACTTTGCCACTCTCGAATCATCCATATCTATACAAAAAAACAACAAACAAAACAAAAATGACTACTAGCAATAACAGTGGATGCCGAGTATTAACAGTGAATTATAGTCGACTCAAAAACCAATAGTGCATAAACAGAAAAAACACGAATATACTCAGATTCAACTGAAAAAACCTCAATTAATATGAAAACCAAATCGAATATCACAAAAGTTTCACCACACCTCAAATCAAAACACAAGAGCAAATCCACAATCAAAACGAATCTGAAATCAATCCAAATTATAAACAAAAAGAAACGAAAACCTAATCAGCAACTTAATTAATCGAACATGAAATCACCAAAAATCAGACTACAATATAATCGAATCCTCAAAAAACGAATATGAATTCACAAGAAAAAATCGAAATACCTCAAAATCGAAGATCACAGATCGCACCAAGCTCCAATCGAGTCTCTTGCAGCGCAATATCAATCCAAAAATTACCAAATCAAACAACAAAGAACAAAAAAATTGAAGCAATAGAACTCCAATCTACACCATACTGAGCTCAGAAGAATCCAAAAAGAAGATCTGAAACCACATCATACTGAGCTTCGTTCGAAGAACTGAACGAAGCTCGTTTGGAATATTTGATCTGCTGAGGCTGCCAAACAGGTTTCTGTTATGAGGTCACCAACGTAAATTTTCAGAAATTCCTATCCTAGCTGGCGAATTTTGGGCATGTTTCAAAGAATTCAGACCAAAAGGTCAAAACCGTAATCTAACATAAAAAATAAATCCAAAAATTGACAGCTGTTGGTTTTTGGGTTTATTTTGGGTGTGTTTATATGTTTTAAATAGTCTAGGGTTTTATTATAGTTTAATGTCTAGAATTGGATGTTTCACTAATTTTCTATATTTTTTTATTAATTTTTGGTCCACGTTGAAGTCCACATCATCAAAAAAAGGGGTCCCACTTTTGACATGTCGGCATTTAACAGATTTCCTGACAGTCTCGCTAACGGATGGGGCAATCTGTAGGTTTTCCGTGACGTTGAGTATGTACTCATAAATGTCCCCAAAATCGGATATGAACTCGTAAATGACCTTATAGGTTGGGGGGTTTATTGTAGTTTACCCTATTAATTAATCTAAATCATATTATACCTAAAAGATGATCCCAAACTTATCCACCTATTTGTTCATATTAATGAAATAAAATTTTGTTTTTGATATTTGAATTTTCCTAGATTAAGATATTCATAAAAATAAATTAAGATAATATTGTTGCAAGAATTCTGTAGTGAGGGCCTTCCTTATGTGTGGCCCTATCTCTTAACCGTTAGATCAAATTGGTTAGCCATTGGATCAAACTAGTTTGTCGTTAGATCAAATTGGTTAGTTTGATCTAATTGTTAAGAGATAGGACCTTATCTAAGGGTCTTAATAAGGCCCTCACTATAAAATGACTCGTGGATGGACTCGAAGGGTTGATAGGCTACACAGGCTTTACCTCGTGCATGAAGAGGCCCAAAAGAGGTCAAGGAAGGCTGGCCATGCCTAATCGGAGCCCATGAGGCCACAACCTAGGCGCATCTCCCTTAAAGGCTTGCACATGGGAGTAACAGATGCAAGAATGGGCCCACGTCATATCCAACTGACACATGTTGTCCTTGAAAAAGGGAAAGGATGACACGTCTACTTATCACAAATCACCCAATGAGATGATGCCATGTATTAATGACCTAATAGTCCCACATCGGAAAAAGATAACTCAAATGTCCCATTTTCCCTATATAAAAAGGAGTACTTCCCACCTAAAAAGGTACTTTGAACTTTTTCCACACTTGAGTACAATACTTTAAAAGCCTTCTTTGAGGAAGAAAGACCGAGTTACGCATTGGAGGGTGGTTGGTGAACCCACCATCACCTCTTCAGTGACCCAATTATGTTCCCTTTTTAGAGAAATCAGAGCTATCCACCACCGTACTTGGGCACTCCAAATACGATGGATACATACATAAGTACGACTTGAAGACCACGTCCACCCTTGAGGAATGGTTGAATAGGATCGGCACACTTTGATTGGTTACACACATCAACGAACATTAAAAAAAAAAAATTTAAACAATAACCAAAAAATAATTGAAGTTAAAACAATGGTCAACAAAATAATAAAACTAGGGACTCAAATTTTGAAATTGCATGGTTGAAGAAAAAAATTGTTTGAGGCTTTGCATATAGATGAGTATTTGGGAGGAGAAAATTTGGGTTTAAGTCCCTACAACATTGGAGATTATCTTAGTGAAGTCCATACCCATAAGTGAAGTATTGCATTCGCAAGAGAAAACTCCTAGCCGCCACCCCTCAAGGGGTGGTGACTACCATGCTTTTTGTCCTCTTCCTCTCTTTTTTCTTTCCTCTCCGCCTCCTCCCCTTCTCATCCTCTTTGCTCCCCCCTCCTGCATAGTCTCTCTCTTTGTTTCGTTGACTCGTTTATGACATAATTATATAACAGATCTCTGCGATTGTATCTTTTTTTGGTGCATCTGCTCTATTTGCTGAATAAGAAAGTCGATTGGTGCATATTTGTTATATTTTGGTACTTACGCAAAGTGAGTTGACTTTGTGACAATGGAGTTGCAATATGGCTGGTTTAGTTTCTTTATTTTTAGAATAACTTGTAGAAACTCTCTTTAGGTTTTGTGTAATTTTCAAATCGCATTTATGAGAGTTTTTCACCTCTTTTTTGTGAGAGTTTTTATTTGTATTATTATGACTTGGTTTTTCTAAGTTTTATATCTTTTTAATTGTTTTGAGTTTGAAATCTTAGTTGGAATGCACATGCCAGAGTTCCTTCGATCATGCGTGATTGTTAGTGAATGCGCACTAGATTATCTTAATGTTGATGTTAGATTTCTCCGTAATTGTAATAACTAGCTAGTTTGTATTTTGCCTGAATTATGAATTCAATCTCAAAAAATTTCAACTAAAAAAAGAGAAAGCATTTGTAATTTTTTTAGAAGCAATTCCAAACGAGTCCATGCGTCATATTTGTATTCGTGTGAGCAAGTTCAACTGAAGTCAATGTCATTGCTCCAGGGATGGACCCACCCATGTACTGTGTACGTATATTGACCGTAGATTACTGCAATACGTGTTCTAAAAACCTAGTGGGTCGCATCGCATGTTACGACATCCGAGATCTTTCTCTTCTCTTTGTTTCGAAAATGACAATATGGGATTTTACTTTACTATTTATTTATTTCCTCGTTCATTCAAAATTTAAAAAATTATCTCAAAACAAAAGCCAAAGAAGAAAGAAAAAGAAAGCACAAAACAGAAGACAGAGAGCACACCAGTGAGACTAACAATGGAGAGAAGCACACCAGTGAGAAAGCCTCGCAGAGACACTGCCGATATGCTGACGTGGAAAGAGGTCCCACAGTCCGACTCTCCCGCCACCGCCCCCTCCGGTCACCGCTCTCATCAGGTTACCACTTCCACTTGAAAACACTTTTTCAGTCAATTTTTTGTCTTTCTTTTTCTTTCTTGGTAAATTAAGGAAGCTTACGTGGTGTATTTTCAGCCGTCAGATGGAATCAGCAAGGTGCTCCATGGAGGTCAGATCACTGATGAAGAAGCTCAGAGCCTCAACAAACAGTAAGATCTATTTTGTGAAGTCAGATCTAGTAATGCATGTTTCATTGCTATGAATTTCTGCAAATACCCCATATAGCCTGTGCAAGCTGCTCAACCAAAGCTACAAGCTTTCTGTTTTTCTGATCAGAAAGATGTTGACTTTGATTATTCTGTGTTCATGTCATCTTAATTTTGCATGTCTATAAATACATGCATTGCAAATTTTGCAACCCAAAATTTGTTATTCAAATTCCCAAGTTTACCCATCTTAGATCCAGAAATTATTTATAAAAAAGATCAGTACTTTTTTTTAACTACAGGGTTAGTGATTAAGATTTGTACATCTAAAACTCAGATGAAATGTGGTTCAGGAAGCCTTGTTCAGGCTATAAATTGAAGGAGATTACGGGTAATGGCATATTTGCTGCTGGTTCAGGCAACAATGCTGCACCAGAATCTAATGATGCTAGTAACAAAACAGGGCTTCGTATTTACCAGCAAGCACTCAATGGAGTTAGTCAAATATCATTCAGTGTTGATGAACATGTCACACCCAAGAAGCCGATCACTATTCCTGAGGTTGCAAAGCAGCGTGAATTGAGTGGGACGTTGCAATCAGACTCGGATTCAAAGTCCAACAAGCATATATCAAATGCC